TGTATTTATTCCTATTACCATAAGAAGTAAGAACCATTTAAAAAGTTTAGTTTGATTTTTAAAATAAAACTTTTTTCTAGATCTACCATTAAAGAAAATCAAGAAGGAATCAGAGTTTGAAATTAAACAAGAGGCCATGTCTGATGGAGAAGGAGCTGTTGGAGGTTTGTATAAAGAAGATACTTTAAAATAAGGAAAACTATTTAATTTTATTCTTAAAAATTTTAGACATCGTATAAAGTAATCACTACTTCAAAAATTCTTAAAAATTTTGTAGACCTCGCCTTTTGATCAGGCCAACAGTTCGATCCTAATTGAAGACAGTAAATTTAGATGGTTTGAAAATGTGTAATCTAAACAAATAAAAATCTATTTTCAATGAAGAAAATATAGTAGCAATCAACTTGTAAACAACAACACGCAACACAGCAACCTAAACATTGACTTTTTTTTCTAAAAACACCTGGAGACATAAACAAGTAAAGGTAAAGCGACAGATCCCAGGAGAAAGCCAGTTTTATGCTGTTTACAGTGAATATATCCAGTCCAAATCGGACTGAAATCGACTGTGTTAAAAGACAACACGTAACCGTCTGCACACCGTCACATTGACGCTTGATATCTCATATCTCATATTATGATCACCAATGTGGCTGCGATCTCAAGAAATTATCACAGAATTTACATAAGGGGTTTTAATTTACTAGCAGGTATTAATAAGTAAGTGGCAAGATTTGTCCTGGAAATTTTGAATCTGGAAAACCTGGAATTGTCCTTGAATTTTAATTTAAAGAGACAATGGACACCCTGAACTGTATTAATAGAGTGATTCAACTCAGCTATATATCTCCAGGAGAGGAATATTTTAAACTATGAGTTAACTTGTTAGTATTCCTTTATTGAGACAACTACCTTCTTTTTAATATTTATTAACACTTATTACATTTTCTTTAATACAGGAGAAACCACATCAAAGAAAAAGAAGAAGAAGAAGATCAAACAAGAACCTGTGGACGAAAGTATGGGAGGTAAGATCATTTACCAACTTTTAACAACCGAAAATCCTTGCGTTGATAATACTTTTGCAATAAAACCATTTAAGAATTTACAATGATAATAGCTCAATATTTTTAACTTTGTTTTCCGTACAAATTTTTGGGGTTTGCTTTTTGATTTCTTGAGTAAGGGTGTAACCTAGTAGCTAACGTCTAGAACTTAGGTGTGAAAGTAACTTGTTCAATCCCTGTCATATCCACAAATTTAAAGCATTTGCATTAGTAATTCTTTCATACAAAAGGCAACTAGTGTATTTTGATGGTTTTTTTAATGTGTGTTAAAAGCCAAATGATTATATTATGCTATGAAGCTTTGTACACTACAAATGTACTGTTTGAACTGAAATTATAAGTTTTTTTGTATATTCACTTTTTTTACCAAACAAATTTGTAGTTCACTTTGTACTTGATCCTTTAAAAAATTTGCTAAATCTTCCAGCATCGAAAATGTGTGTAACCATTATTGTAGGGCAGCCAAATTGATATTTTATTTTTCTTATTACTTTACTTATATATTTTGTGTGTTTTGCTCACAGATGTATCTATCAAGGAGGAACCGCAGGATCAGGGCGCAACAGGTGAAGGTAATATTTGAATTCTGCTGATTTGTTTTCAAATGTCTTTTAGTGTAGTAAGGCCGGATTCACACTATCTGTTTCACCGCATCCGTCCGTCAAAAACGGATGCTTTTCAACGGGAACACTGTTAGGCATGCACATCATCCTTCACCAGTGATCAAAATCGGACAAAAATTACTTAAGTTATCACGTTTACGGACGTATATATATAAATCTATATACAGCATATATATATAATTGAAGGAATGGTGTTTTTGGCCTCTAGGGACATCAAAATGAAAAAGTATATCGATCCCGTGTCCAGGACTTACCGTGCCACCAGGAAAACGTACAGCAAACTTGTTATTTAATTCCCTTGTTTAGGGTGTTTAAGTACAGTTCTTTTCATCTCTAAGTGAAATGCTGCAGTTATAAAAATGGGTGTTTTTAGTTCACCTGTTGCGTCAAAGTTCTGTTTCTGAATAACTATTTCCTACAGGACTATGACATTAATTGACCATTAGTTTACGTAAAATACGAATGACTCAGATAGTTTTTTATTGTTTTGTCTCTAACGTTGCTTCAAGATCTTAATTTAATTTTTTTTTTTTTTGCTTTGTTAAAAGTCCTCTATATTAAATAAGATTACTTGTAATTTTCTTTCAATTAATTAATTAATCACTGTACTGTTCTTGTTATTATTTTGTTGTAACGTTTTAGTTTTTCTCACTTATCAATTAACCATGCATCTGTTCACCATTGTATGACGAACGTTTTTGTGCGATAAAATACTTATGTACATCGCAAATACGTCATTAATTTCAAAGACAAAAAATAATGCCGAGTTAGGTCACTGTATAAATCATCTATTTATCATAATTTGTTGCCCACTCTTACTGAAAAGAGTGCTACTATATACCTTAGTTTCACTTAAGCGTTTTCTTTGCAGGATCAACCAAGAAAAAGAAGAAGAAGGTTAAACAGGAAGCCGTAGAGATGGAAGTAGAGCCGAGTGAACCAGCTCCTGAAGAATCAGTCTTAGATGCTCAAGGTAAATATTTTGGATTCAGTAGGCACGACTGTTAAGCCATTATTGTCTTTGTTATTTTTATTAATGAAGTTTTTGGTTTGGTGGAATATCTTAAATGCTCAAAATGAGATGGATGGAGCGAATTTTGTTTTTTATTACATTTAAATATCTAGGCTTACAGTATCGTCCCCCCTCACATGCAACTTCCCTCTGTCTCAGAACTCAGGTCAAGTGTAAGAAGAGCCAACTTTCACTAACGTTGTCTGAACTAATTTCATTTTATTAAAATATGTGAGAAAAAGTTTTACTTGTAGGTTAGTTACTGGCAAATGCTTATCAAAAAAATTTGTTTAGTGAGCAAACAGTAGGCACAAGTGGAGCTGATAGCATGATATTTATTTGCAACTCTTGTTTAGGTTCTTCCCAGAAAAAGAAGAAGAAGAAGAAGTCAAAGGCGGTGGCTGAGGACGAGTAAAGTTTATATGAAGTAATATTTTCCATTTTAATTTTTAGTTATACTTTGGGATCAGCTCTTTTTTAAGCATTTTGGTATGTTTTAATACCAAACATAAATGTTTTGCAATAGGTTGGTAAAACCCGTAATTCAGTTGACTTTTTATCATATTTGAACTACTTGACTAAGAGTATGTTGGATTAGCAAAAGCACTAGGTTAAAAGAAGATAGTTTAATTTTTACGAAAACATATTATATTTTATTCAGTGCACACTGTCTATGGAAACTTAGTAAATAGCCTATTTAGCACACCAATGATTTTCAGCCTATTCCCAAAAGGTAATATTATACTATTCGCCTCAATACATAACTTATGCTAAATATATAATAACATTAGAACAGCACAGTTCCACAAACTCTGCATAGTTTGGAATATGAAAGAAGGGAGTAAAAGCTGAAATAGATGTTGTTGTAAACAATAATAAAACATATAACATTGTACAGACTACAGATTCATGTTTTTATTGCTCATGTATCCTTTTGTATAACATGTTGACATCATGGATTTTTGCGAGGATGTCAGTTTTACCTGGATGGGAAAGAGTCCTTTCTGGCTTGGTACATCAAATGCTAGGTTGGACTTCCCATTCAAGTAAATCTGCCTTCGCCTATCTTTAAAATTATCTTAGGCCTTTGAGCACTATGTTACATCATTAACAGTTAAAGAGTACAAAGTTCCAAGACAGTCCCAGTGGGCTCATCATCCTCTAAAGCAGCGTGTCTTATCACTAATCTGAAACCTGGTATAATGGTGTTGTTTAAAACTAATGTATCAAATATTAAGTGAATGGATGTGCTTAATACAATTAACTTTGTTAAGTTTTCAATACAAAGACAAAGGTTTTTTGAAAATTAAAAAAATGTTTCAGTCTAAACAAATATATTTGCTCATGGAGTGCTGCGGAGTTCGTGGGACTTTACTGTACATTGTTTTCATAAATCAAAAGATTTTTGTAATTAAACCACTAATTATTTTAATATTCAGTATTTTAAGCCCAGTTTACACCACTGACACTGGTGATTATTGACATAAATCATTATTTCATCAATCTTCATTGACATAGTATGGGAGAACAAAACTTCATTCTAAGTCTGTTTGTAGAGTCAATCGTAGAGATGTAAAATTACTGTTTATTTTTAGCGAATTTCCCATATAGGGAATAAGCTATTTAATTTATGCAGTCCGCAGCATCATTCTTTAAATAATTGTATTCAATGTCCAAGTTGTATTGCTTGGAAAAAACATTGTTACTTGTTGCTAGCAATTGATTGAAATAATTGACCAGTTGTTGTGTTGAATTTCATTTATATTCAATCGACCAAATTCAACCTTCTTTCTTTTAGATGTTACACTTTCTTAAATGGAAAATAATGTTTTAGTCAACGTTTACAATTAATCTACTTGACAAGGAATGTGAAATGAAATATATTTTTGGTTATTTCTTAAGTGATTGTTGATTTTGTTGATTACATATTGTTAATGTAAGTGTTATTGATTTCCTGTATTGTTTTTATCTTCATTGTCACGTAGTCCAGAGTATTAAATTTATACATAAAAAAGTGCTAAGTGATTTCATTTTCAATCCTCTATTTTTAAATACAAGTATGCAATTTAGCAATTTGCATTTTCTGTATGAGGGAGGAACACAGCTATTGCTGATTATCAATAGATACTGATTAATAAATCAAGAAATATTTTGCTTTGAAATTTATGGACTGACTGAACCACTGTACAGTAATTTTAATTTAAAAAAAAGTTAAGCCATATAATAACTAAGAGAAAAATTGACATCATCAGAATAACTTGAGTTGAATCGAGATTGGATGATTCAATAAAACTGATGTACCAAAAAATAATTGTTTATTGTCTTACAAAAGATGTTCATAACACTTTATCACAATAAATATCAATTTAAAATCCTTATAGCTATTTTACAAATAATGTGCGCAGTTTAATTAAGATGTTTACCCTGTCAATAACATTCAACTGGATTCTATAATATAGTGGTTCAAAAACAAAAAGTAATCCTTTCCTATCCTAATCCAGTTGGCACATTGTACTGTATTAAGAAAAGGGCAAAAGACAAAAGTATATATTAAATTAGAGCAGTGTGTTTATTACTAATAGCTTAAACCGTAAGCCAAATAAAGCTATCTATCGGAGGTCTTATCTCCGTCTGTAGTCCAAAATTGCCATCAGCAGATGGAGGTAAAATAGCCTATTTTGTTATAAAGGAATCCAAGGGCTAAGTATAATATCGATTGTTACACATCTTAAAATTCAAGTCAATACTCAATAATATTAATTTTATGATACAATGGTGTATTTAAATTTATTAGGAGAAAGTTAGGGTAATTTTATCAACAATAACATTAACATTTTTCACTGTTTCCTTATAAAAATCGTAACAAAATCAAAAGACATTTAAACACAATGAAAAATTTAAAATCATGATGGTCTATAGTCTATAACAAGTGTATACGTTATTTAAATCAGGTACAATGTGTAAGTTGTATGAGCAATTTTCATAACTAATAACTACATTGAGCAATGTTTCAGGTTTCAATTATTTATTACTAGTCTAAAAACAACCTTTTTTGAGAAGGCCTATCTCAAAGACTGAGGCTAAGCCAAATGTTAAGATCAAGCTAATTAAGACTTTTGAGATAAGTTATGGACGGTATCTTTTGACTATTAATGAAACTAGACATCCCAAAGCTGTAGCCACTTTTAGAATTAACAGAAATGTTTGATTTCAGCCACCGTCAGAGTTTGCTACTGTTAATTGTTCAAATATTCCAACTTTTTGACTTAGTCAAACTGAAATGACAACTTGTAAAACATAACATATTTTTGTCACAAATCGGCATATTAAAACTTGAAAGCACTACACTTAACTTTATTCTATTATAAAATATAATTGGCAACAATGTGTTGATTATCTCATCTTCATACAATAATTAACCATATTAATATACAATTTGTCATAAGTATAAGGATTGGTCATGTTGGCTATTGCCTTTGACTATTAATACAACTATACAGACTGTCCCAAAAGTCCCGGACCGGTTTAATATTTTCTAAACTACAACAGATAAATCAATAAGATTTTGCACATCAACACCACACCTAAAAATCTACTTTTTTAAGAAACTATCAATTTTCTCTCATATCATGGGGACGTCCCGCAAGGAGTCAGAAGGAAACCTTAAATAGAAGCATAGGTCGATATGCACATCAAATTAAAGGTCTTCACTAGTAGATTTCAAAACCGTAAATTCAAGCTCAAAAGGACGACTGAGTAAAAAATGGCAGCCGTTTAAAGATTTCTTGAATATGCCATTTTGAATCTTTGAACGACTGCCATTTTTTACTCAGGCGTCCTTTTGTGCTGTGGACCTGGAATGAATTTAAGGAAAAGATTAGCAAGAGGTGATCCAGGCATAAATAAATTGGATGCTGCATGCAAAAACCACGATACCTATAGCATACTCAAGATCGAAGGATAGTAAAATTAGATCAGTGGCTGACAGTTATTAGCTTGGGAAACTAACTAGTTCCGGTAGCAAAAAGTATTGGTGCGATGATGATTTTTCACGTTTCAGTTGATTGAAGCAGCTAATATTGCTGTACAGAATGTAAATAATACAATTGAGAAGATTGTTTAAATTTGAGAGTGAATGAAAAAATAGCCAATACAACATCATAGTTCTAAAGTCAACCTCAAAGGCAAATCCCAAGTAAAGATGATTTAGCTGATAAAATAAACCAAATGTATATTTTGACAACAAATTCAATTGGTAGAAGGGCCTACAAGTTATTCAAGTCATATGCAAGTCAACCCTATAAATATATACAACTTATCTACAACTACTACCCCGTTGAAACTTGAGTTTCAAGATGAGTGAAACTGGTAAGAATCACATTTCAATTAATAAAAAAGAAGTAAGTTTTTACTGTATAGTAACAGTAAAAATGGAGATTATGTCACCAAGTACAGAAAGCTTACCTTTTCTTCAAATATAAAATTATCTTCTCTAATAAACTTATTAATTCATTGTCTATTCACCTTTGTAGTTTGGAGCTCTATTTTCTTTAAAGGCCTTTAAACCTTCAATTCGGTCTTTAGTCGGAATGACCTGGGCATAACATAGCTGTTCAATCTTACAACCGGTCTGAATATCAGTTTGAAGACCTTTGTTGATTGCAAGTTTTGCCATCTTCACACCAAGAGGTCCATTCACTATAATTTGTCGACTAATGTCCAGAGCCTTTTGAAAAGCAGCATCAGACGAGGAATTTTGTTTTACAGAATGGTTAGCTAGTCCAAAATCTTTGGCCTCACTGCCATTGAATATTCTAGCACAATAAATAAGTTCTTTGGCGACTGCAGGATTAATAAGCCTCGTCAGTCTTTGAGTACCTCCAGCTGCTGGCAAAATAGCCAACTTTGTTTCTACCAGCCCAAGTTTAGCGTTTTCTGAAACCACAATCATATCACAGGCTAATGCTATCTCTAAGCCACCTCCAAAAGCAGAACCGTCAATTGCTGCTATCGTTGGGATAGGAATATTTTCTATAGCTGTAGCCAAAGCGCTTAATCTACCTACCATGACACTGACCTCATGATTAGAAAGTTTGATTCTTTCCTTCAAGTCCGCACCGGCACAAAATACACCTGGAACTAAACTTCTCAATACCACTACACGAGCGTTTTGGTCCAAATGAATTTTCTCAACAGCATTCATCAATGAGGATGTTAAGGAGCTGCCTAGAGCATTACGAGCTGAAGGCCTATTCAAGCCAAAAACAATTACTCCTGAGTCTGCCTCCTCAAGAACTTCAACTGACACCTCATTTGTAGATAGAGTTGTAGATAACATTTTGCTAGTACTTGAACATGAAAAATATCTGGACAAGTGTCTGGTGCGAAGTAAGTTCCTTAAAATCATTGACATCCTAAGTATATCTTTAGAACAACTTTAGGTAGTTTTATGTAAAAGCACTTTATTCTTATTATAATTTTGGTCAATTGTATTCCTAGACTAATTATAAACTGTGACTTGTATGGAAATTAATACGAAGTTTATAGCATTTTTAGCCTACCTTAATTCTTTACATAGGTAGTTTGTTGAGTTTAATGGTTGATTAAAAGAATTTTTAATAACAAACGACTAACAGGGCTTGAACTTAGAGTCCTTCTTCGTTATCATCATCAGTTTTTCAGTATCAGTATCGGTTGTTCAACTTCAAGGCTACATAAAAAAATATCACAGTTGTCTGTCACAAGTTAAGGCCATCTTGATAACGATGGTTGAAACCTCTCATTTTTTTAACAGCGCTGTAAGGAATGTCTAAATAATTGTTAATTTTGTTTATTTATTGGTACTGTTATTATGACATGTGATGCATTGAGCATAATTATTTATACTAATTCTAAATGTATTTATAAGTAAAAACATTGACATCGAATATTGCAAGTAGTAGTCTTCTCATCTTATAGTCACATTTGTTTTAGGTGAGTTGAGGAAACTGAACAATAACCTAACATTTAAAGCCTTGTTGGTGTCAGTTTCATGTTTTTGCGATGAAATCGTCTAAATCTAAAATGTTTCGTTCCAAATGTCTGATATTTGAATGTTTTTTGTTTAGTGGTTTAACTCTTTGGTTATCATATAATATTAGAAGACAAGCAATAGAATGCTACGTTTTATCAAAACTGGTTAACCTATGAATGTTTTCCTTCAACCATGATTTGAATCTAGGTCTTATATTATTTCTTAAATAATTTATTTCACTTTCATATAGTACTGCGACTTTTATAAATATTCCTGCTTTGGTTATAGTATAGTTTATCTGCGAACCGTTTCTTTGATTGCGTAACCCATCTGCTGCCTCTGCCTCTGCGTCATTCTTTTGGCATTCTTCTTTCTTTATTCATTCATCCGCTCATTCGTTGACGTCACTTGGACATTGTCAAATTGCGTCGTCTGGAATTTGTTTAGTTGTTTGTTGTTTTGTTTGGTACGCATAAGTTCTGTGTTTGTATACCAGCAGCTAACTTACCAATTTTTTACAGTCAACTATTTTATTTTCTAAAGGTTTTTGTCATGATGATATATCTGTAAACTATTCATTATTAACATCTTGTGTTCTCCAAGCTCTAATCACTCAATCGCCAAGGTTAGGGGTTGCCCATCTCTACTCTAACTTATCTGGCTTTTATAAATTTGTTTGTATTAATTTTACATTATAGAATGGGTTTCGATGGGATTGAAAATCACAATGATTCAATACTTTCCTCAAGAAAATCTGTAAAATGGCTTGAAGTTCCCATCCAAAAATTTAATGAAATAGTTCCTCACTTTGTTCAATCTCTCAAGACTCATCACAGTAATATTATTAAGGTAAGATTAATATTTTCACAATCCATCTATCGTTAGCTATGAGTTGTGGGGTACAGTTTCTTGTGTAGACTTGTAGAACTTTATTTAGGCCTAACACCAAATTTCTCTTGAAGAATAACAAATAAGTGTGAGCTAGCTAGCTGAGCGAGCAATAGGACACAAACAAAGGTTATGAAGTCTAAGTAGGTTTGTTCACATAGCTAGCCTATATAGATATTAGGCCTCTGTCCTATTAATGTAGTATAAATAAGTTATGCCTAAAAAAATTAGTTTGGTGTTCTGTCACATTAAAGCGGTAGGCCTACTTACTGGGCTCATGAGGATCGTTTTAAGGCTCAACTCTTCGTGAAGGTCAATTCGTACGTGCTACACTTCTGAGATTGAAATTATATTAAGTAAGTCTTATATATAATTAGGGTTCTCAGAGACCCTTCATCAAAAAAGAGGGCAATTATGACTCGCAGAACTTACCTTGGAGGGGGAGGGGGCACCTCATATTTTTTTTCAAATTTAGTATTACTTTAAGTTAATGTGTTTTAAGAGCTTTTAAAAAAGTGTTTAGACTATTTTAGATAGGCACTAGAACTTTCAGCATTTTGGATTTTTTTTAACTGAATATTGTCTGAAAAATTCCTAAAAACATCTAGGCCTAGCCTATAAATTGTAAGTTTTAGAAATTTTTAACTAGAATTTTTGATTTGCTAGCCAATTCTTTACTGTCACTAAAATATTTACTTTTAATTTTCATTCAGGCATGCTTATGTTAACAATGCTATTGAAAAAAAACTTGGCAACTTAGGCTTTTTAACGAGTCATTCCACGTCAAATCACCAAGGATGTACTTATACCCTAGCACCGTTTGGTATAATCGATGATATTAACTTTATATCATTTACAGCTTGAGTAAATTTTATGACATGAGAGATTACACACATACATAGTTATTTTGATTTGGCAGAACTTTGAAGTTATAACCAAATATTGAAGTTCAAAGTTTGAATTTCAAAGTTTGTAACTAAAGGTTTAAATCACTGTTTTATTAGAGATGATTTGTATCGTGATGTGTCTTTTGTTAGTGCCGTCCAAAAAAAAATTATGAAATGGCTGAAAGACAGTTTTCCATCAGTTACAAAGGTGCACTATTTTACGGATGGATGTGCCGGGCAATATAAAAACAGGAAAAACTTAAAAATAACTATGTCAAGTGTGTAATCTATCATGTCATAAAATGTACTCAAGCTGTAAATTAGCCAATAATAAAGTAACAATAAACTATTTTGTTACAACCATTTCAAGGTATACCGCTTAAAGACTTTTAGCTTTACATTTGTTTAAGTTTAAGGAAATATCAAGTAAACTTCAAATATGAAATTTAATATTGTTAGAGAACTACAGGAGTTAGCCTATGTGAATTAAGCTTTCATAACTGCAAACTCTTGTAAGTATTTTTTTTTTTTTATAAGATACAAGATATAGGCTATGTTACTAAATTTTTAGCATTAGGTTTCATAACCTAAATTTTTTGGGTAATTTGACGTGGAATGACTTTATCTTCAAAACTTTTGTCCGGAATACTGGATCCCCCTCACTTAATATCAAATTACTGGATTAGAAATATGTTTTGCAAGACTAAAAGTCTTAAACAACACATTTTGAAGTTTGGTGGTACTATCCATGGACCCCAAACTCTGGTGTGATGTTTTTACTACAGTGTGTGAAATGCAGTTTCTTCAGCAACACGAGCAAAATGATTCAATTTAGAGTCATGCTTAAAGAACAAACTGTCAATTTCGGAAGATGATGCAACCTGCATAAAGGTTTTGAAGTTGTGTTGATTTTTTTTAGAACAAGTAAACTTTTTTAAGCCTACACATTTTATTTTCGGCATTAGTTGGGTCTAAGAACGTGTAAGAATGACAAAACAAGACGCAAGAAAATTATTTTAATGTAAGCGTGTGGGAGTCTAAACACAAGCAGGAAGCAAACAAAGGAGCTAGCTAGTTAGTTAGTCGCTGCTGGTCTGGGTGGTGGTGAGCAGAGACAGAGACAGCTGGGTTAATTTTGCCAACAGTCTTAAGTTTTAAGCACAAAATTTGGTCCATAAAGAAAACAAAACTTCTAAATATAAGATATCAATACAGTGACACAATATTTTAATTTAGGCTAAGTTAGTTTCCAATATCATTCTCATCCTGGGTGATTGATGATTAGAGCTAATTACTAATACCGTACTAGGCCTACTATGCGTACGGTATAGGAATATTATTATTATTTTTTTTTCTTCTAAATCCCGGACATTTTAAGGTTTTGCCGAAAATCCCCCTGGACGTTTATTATGTACCCCAAAAAGAGGAGGTGTCCGGGGAAATAATGAGGACGTCTGGAATTAAACACTGAGCCAAGCCACATATCACAGCCATTTTTATGATCTAATTAACTCAATACATGCTACAAATACAGTATACTTACGATATGGTCACGGTACTGAAAATAAGAATGAAGTGTTCCATATGGACAGGAGTAATTTTAGTGCTAATTATTTCAATTTACATATTAAATACTTGTTGTATTGTATCTCAATACTAGATCCCTAACCCCTTATTCCCCCATCCTGTAAAAGAACTAGCACATATTTCAAATATATTCCATACCGGATAACTAGGACTTATCGGTTTAGTGCTAGCCCTCGATGGTGTGTTCCAACATCTTCAACACGTTGCTGGGTCAATCCATTACAAATCTAATGGCAAGTTACTTATTAAGAATCCAGGTAAAGGTTAGGGTAGCCTATAGTTTACTGGGTGTTGTTCATGTTAACATCCATACTGTTTTGTCGCTAACTTATTGGAATTTAAGCTAGTGGATTACACATGAAAGTGGTTAAGATTTCAAAATTGCTTACAATAGAAACGTCTTAACAAAACAAGCGACTCGGCAGTACCACAACAAGCAATGTTACCTAGGTTGGTATTGACTAAATTTCCCTATTTCGATGATATCAGTAATAACTAGTCTAGCAGAATTGCCATAACCATCTAGCTTATTACAAGACTCATATTTAAACAAAAAATAATTCCATACAAATTTAGTTTTATTTTCATCTAATAGCCTATTTGTTTTAGTTTATATATAAATTTGTTAACACTTAGTACAAACCTAAAACTACCAAATAACCTAAAACTACCAAATAACCTAAAATTACCAAATCAAAGATTTGTTAGTCATATCATGTGCTTTTCAGCTTAGGAGGCTAGAGCAATGGGAAGAGGTGCGGAGAGAAGAAATAAGCGCTACACAAATCATAAATCAGTTAGCTGCTTTGTTAAGTGAAATGGAAAATTTGCGGAGCCAAGTAACAGAAACAGATTTGAACAAGTTTGACAGATCAATTATCAGCTCCAAACGGAATGCAAAAGCTGCCATTAGGTCTTTCCATGGTAAGATTTGTTTTCTCATATTTATTTTTTTTTGTATTGTAGGCTATAATCAACTTTTGGTGTTATATGATGATTGGTTATGATTTCACCGTAGGTTTTTAAGCTTAACCCATTTTTTAGAGTCTCAAAATAACACCAAGTGTTCTATAATGACTCTAGATACAGTACCGCACCACCTATAACGAGCAACCTCTCTGATACTCTCTAGCTACATTCAAATTATTCATGTGGATTTCAGTTTTTTTAAGAAAAAAAAACAACTTGGCTTTGGAATAATTATTGAGGAGAAAGGAAGGATACACAACTAACTCACCTGAATAAACAAGTCTCAGGAGGTCAA